CTAAAAGCCTAGAGATTTATGGTGAACTGAGACACTGCACAGCATAGCAAAATCTGGCAAACTCCAAAGTGATTTCCATACACATGCAAGAGAAACTCATTCTAGACAGTGTGTATCTGTTATTTTCAGAAACTGGGATAGAAAGAGATTGCTTATCTAGGCAGCATTGACTTTGAGGAGTTCAAAGCAAATTCAAGAAGGGATGTTAGAATTAAATGTGCAGTTCTCAGAGGTAACAGAATGGATTTAAAGTTTAGGCAGGAAGTAAAAGCCTTGAAAAAAAAAAAGCACTTAAAGTGAAAGGGTCATGAATTTAGTATTTGTGAATAACAAGGCATCAAGCCAAGTAACACAGAAGCATTTCTCTGCATTTCTTAAAATGACATTGCAGAATTGTTAATCCAATAAATATATAGCCCAATTCATTGAACTTCTAGGTCCTTACCTACTGATCTAGGAAGTCAAGTGTCGTTCCTTGCATTTGTGGAATGGAATGAGTGTGTGCCAAGTTCAGGCCAGAAGTATGAAATCTCTGCTGCTGAGACTTACATTAGGATATTAAGATAATAAGTAGTGGCATTGCTGACCTGACAGCTCCCAAATAAGGTAGCTATTTTGATCCCACATCTATCAATTATACCTAATACTAACAATTTGGTGGAATTTTGTGTCCATGGCAGGCTCCAACATGGGCTAAAGTGATAGCAATGTATTTTCATATAAATTACACTGTCTTTTTGTTTTCTGATTTAGAAGTGAACTTAATATTTCTGATCAGGGCCAAACTGAAGATACAAAGATAGCGATCCGCTGTTGAGTACAAAGTCTTATGCACAAAAAGCTGTGATAGTGAAAGATTCCCTTACCATACTTTGCCCATGACCATTACACTGTCACCAAAACATCTCTGTTGTAGAATCAGCCCCTTAGACCTGACAACTGACAAAGATAAGAATGATATAATTTTCTTCTAAATAAAACAGTCTTTTATAGTGGCATAGAAATGAATTGTGTTGTCCAATTGTTATCCCTGGTAGCACCTGGCAAATATGAATATATAAATATATTTATGGTCTTATTAAGGGCTTAGACAGCTAGGGAGGAGGAATATGCAGAATTTTCTGTGAAATAACTCGCTCAAACACATTCACCTACTTATATTTTTATAAACAGGAGCATATAAAGGAGAGTTTCATCTGCCTGAGTTAGGTGCTTTAACATAGTCAGACAGATTACTGCTATGTAGATGTCGAAGTCAGCCAAGGTTTATATCATCTAGTTTGCTATGTCATTGCTCAATGAGTCGCAGCTCTTTGAAGTCCAGACAGTTTCATACTCTCATTACTGTACCATGAACGCTCTGTCTCTGCCCATGACTTCTAGCACCTCGCTAATGCAGATGCTAAGGACATGCGTACTTCTTGACAGAATTCATTGAGGTCAAATAACTTGGAATGTGTGTAACAGATCTGGAAAGTGGAAGTGAAAATAAGTATATCCCAAGTATGTGTGCTTGTGGGTAAGTGTACTTGCTTTACTTATTTATCAAATCAGCCTTTTGCAGATTTTTCAGTTCAAGTAATGACAATATTAATACACACGTACTATTCTAAAGCTTGTTCTTATAATACATAATTTTCTTGAAGCTCACACTTTCACTAAGATTTATTAACATCTTAAAACATACATTCAATGAGGGAAGATGAAAGGTTTTCATTGCTCATACAAGTGTTATTTTTAATTTAACTTGTCTCTCACCCTTCCTCAAAAATCTCACCTTCTGCTGATCTGTTCCAGTGAAGCTGCCAGCAAATGCCAATCAACAGCTAAATGGAAACAGTGCATGTTGTGAAGAAATAGCTAAAATGGGTGGGAAGCTCCAGACCCACTCACTTAAGTGATCTTTCATGAGGATTTCAGCTTTGCTCCTCAGTGGATGGGCTCAAATCTGCCTTCTGGCCTCTATTTTTGATTGGACATGACAAGTTAATTGGCCAGGTTGTACACTGAACAGCCTTAGAAGCAATACCACAGATGTGATTTATATATTCTGAAAAAGTACAGTTTTGATCTGTTATTGGTGCAAGCAATAATCTCTTCCTTTGGAAATCTGTTCCTCCTGTACAGGTTAAATCAGATCTGAAAATTGGAATTGCAATATTTGGGTTTGTTGGCAACAAAACCACTAAAGGTATAATGAATGAATGGAAGGTCAAATTGAAAAGTTCAGTAAACAGAAAAAAAAAAAAAAAAGATAAATTGGATGAGGTCTGATAACATTTTGTTTGATTTGTAGCAAAAGTTTCATCTGTACTTAGCATTACTTTGGGTTTTGTTGGTTTGAAAACATCAATGAGATTTCAATTAAATATAAAACAGAAATGTTTTGCATTGAAAAAAAATAAAAATAAACAAAACAACAGTTAAAGTGGCTTGATGTTTTCAGACAGCTTCCTTTTGCCATGGGCAGTAGACAGTCCCAGTGGTGGTAGGTGGCACTCATTGAGTTTCACAGCTTACAGGACAGGCTGTATGGTTTGGGTAGCAGCACAAAACCAGCACAGTATTGGAGCTGTGGTTGGGCTCACCCATTGGCTGGGGCTGAATTCTCTCTGCAGGGCTTGGTGTCTTTGGTCAGATGGTAAAGCGGGCAGAGAGGAACAGAGAGGCAGAAAGGTTGAAGACTGCTAGGCTGAGAGAAGGTCACACTTGAACCTCTAGGTATGACTGAATCCTGTAACACCTAATGGGTCTTTGAAGTTAAACAAGGGACCTGCTAGTGCAGTTCTACTCAAATGCATTCTTCTCCTGACTATTACTTACCATATTTAGACTATTACTTACCAAATTTATTACCTTCATCAGGGAAAAGCTAAAAGTGTCCCACAGGAAACCTTTCAGAACCCATAGTTTCTGTTATGGGAAAATTTATAGCTCAATAACATAGTGCTTTAAAATTGACTACTAAGAGAACCACACAGGCACCAGTTAATATATATTTGTAATGTCCTTCATGAATCCATGCACAGTAATCACAAACAAGAGAGTTCATTTAAAAAGTATGGTTTATATGCATAATAACTTAGAATTAATACAGAACTTGCAGACAAGTACAATCAATGTTAAAAAAAAAAGAAAAGATACAACATATTTCATGTTAAACACTATTTCTGGCAGAAGCCTATGTTAAAAGCATCTTATAATAACCTTTCAGTGCTGTGATATCTCTTAGCAATCTTTGGCTATATGGCAGTACTGAAAATAGGAACTCTGCTAACATTAAATCAATGTGTTGCTTAATGGTTCATATTAACATCTCCATCAGGAAGTAATGGACCTGTAGTATTTCCTATAATTGCTATATATAGTTATTTTCTGTATTAAGTATTGTATTTGTCCCCATTAGTCCAGAAATGTTCCCTGCTTCCAAAAGTAACACTACAGAACTTAAATGCAAGCTCTGCAGAAAACCTACCGGTTCAAACCCAGACAGACAACAGAGATCAAAAGTTGTTTTCATTCAGGCAAGCTTTGAATTGCCACTTCTCAGAGGAGAAAAGGCTAGTGCAATTTTTATTTATTTCAGGCTGCATCCTTTGATCAGACATCTCCCTTGAATTTGCTCTAATACATGCTGTCATATGGAAGTGGAGAACACTTTACCTGCTGAAACCAGAGCACAGTTTGGCTTCTGATTTTTTATTGCTTTTCAGCATCCCAGACTGTGACCTCGGGGGCTATTGTGCAGGTCCTGCAAATGTGAAGCACTCCCCGTTTCTCCAGAATAAAAGGGCAGTGAGAGAGAATCTTGCATTTATTTTTTTTTGCAGGCAAAATTTCAGGAGAGACTTTTTTTTTGGAAGTGAGTTGGTTTATGTGCCCTTTGGAAGCTGTCCACCGCAGCACTGATGTCAACACTGACTTGCAAAGAAGAGAATCATATTAGAGTTTTCTTGAGTCACTGCGTGAATTGACATAAATATGAGTTATCTGTTAATATTGTTGTTATTGCTGCCTGGCCTAATGACTGCGCTGCCCATCTCCAGTCTGGCCAAAATATTCAGTCAAGGGAACTGTGTTTTACCCCTTTGGACAATAAAAGGTGCTGATAATCATTTTCTGAGTCAGTTGATTCAGTTTTATCACCTTTTTTTTTTTTTTTTTTTCTGTGCTAATATTTCTGAAGCATTTCCTTGATTCCAGAAAAAAAAAAAAAAAAAAAAAAAAAAGCTGTTTGAAATTAATGTAATTCACTTTTATTTTTTTGTAGTGAAAATCATATTGTGACTGAATTCAGAATGAATTTGCAAAAGTTAGGACACTTTTTGTTTAAGTTAATATTGTTCTTGATGGCTATTTGCTAAAAGAGGATTTCTTAAATATATTAAATATATTGTAGTAGCTGATTCATGATTTTGTTTTAAAAATTCTTTGTCATTACAAAAACTTATATTCTTTATCTGTTTCTTGCTGTAGGCAATGTAGAATTTTTAATTTTCTTACAGGATAACCACTGTTTTGGGTGTACATAACTGTTTTTAAAAGATTGCACAATTTAATGTCATCACTGCCTAAAACTCCAAATGAAAATGCTTAAGTGCTTTTAACAGTTTTTTTTCTTCCTTTTTTTTTTTTTTTTTTCTTTTTTTCTTTCCCAAGCCTGCTATTTATTCTGAGTTCAGTGAAGAAACTGAGTTTCCATTGAACTAATTTTTCTACATTAGAGCTGCAGCTCTACATCCTAAAATTGATCTTACTTCTCTCTTCTGGTTTATTGTGATTTTTTTGTATGACTGTCAACCACGAGATGCCTGCTGAGACCACAGCCCCACATTTGTGGATGCTGTATGAATGCTCAATGTAAGGCAACCAGTGTTCTGAAAATCTGATCTCAATCTTCCAGGCAAGATCTGGTCCTTGTTTTATGGCTCAGGTACTGAGATATGTTGGAGAATAATGACAAATATAACATGGGAGTTGTAGGAAGAGAAACACCTCACTAGCTGTAGGTGTATTTACCTACAAATGTGGGCTCACCAGTCCCAGGGTGCCAGGGGAACCTCCTGCTGTGACTGTCCCCTAAACCACATATCAGGAACTGTAGATTTTTGGGCACAGAAAATAGTGCCTTGAATTAGTGCAGCAGCACAGTTCCCTTCACAGCTTATCACATCAGGGGGTGTTAATCGTGCATCCTTCGTCTGCCTGCAGGTGTGGTTGCAGACCTGGGTCATTCAGTCTCCTCCAAGGCTTCACCAGATCACCATCATCACCTCATCATTTGCTCTCCTGTCTCAGGCTTGTAGCTCTGAAAACACATTATTTTAGTTCCAGTTTAAACCAGGGCTTCAGGCTTTTTGGCCTGAGGAGATCTGAAGCAGGCTTACCTGGCATTTACTTAAACACCAAAAAGTTTAGAAACCAGATAATGTTATTTAACAGGGGCTCTGGCATTCACCACAGCCCTGTTGCCTCTCTCACCCATTCTCTCCTACCTCTTGCTCCAGGTTTCCAATCCCACCAGGATGAGACTCCTCCTCAGTGCAGAGAGGACAGAGGGTGTAACAAGGACAAGATCCTTCTGCCATGGGCAGGCTTTGGGGGCCCTCCCCTGCAGTGGTGGGCAAGTAGGACAGAAGAAAGTAGTGATTAGGAAGAAATTCTTTACTCAGAGGGCAGTGAGGCTCTGGCGCAGGCTGCCCCACGGAGCTGTGGGTGCCCCATCCCTGACAGTGCCCAAGGCCAGGCTGGATGGGGCTGTGGGCAGCCTGGGCTGCTGGGAGGTGTCCCTGCCCATGGCAGGGGGCTGGAACCAGACAGGCTTAAAAGTCCTGTCCAACCCAAACCATTCTATGACTCTATGATTCTATGACAGGACTGCTCTTATGCCTTAGAAATTGTACTTCCTACACTGTAAGGCTTTCCAGTGCCAGGTTAGTCCTGGATAAACAGGTATGAAGCCATGGCCTTATAGGTTTTGTATCAAGATGATTTCTCTGCTTGCTTGTGCTACTGTGATAGCTTAAAACAAGGCACTGAGGAAGAAAACAAATTCTCAGTGATAAACGTTTGTATTATCACATACATTACATGTATCACCTGCATTAAAACATATTGAAACTTATATTTGCTATTAATTTAAATGCTTACATTCACATGCCACGTGATATCTAAAAGCATTAGTGTTATGTAATACTCTCATAAATACTCATGAAGCATCATTAGTTTTCTGTGTCTCCTCCCCAGACACTTTTAACTCTTTCATGGCCTGACACTTGCCTCAGTACACTTTTAAAGTCCAGCACATTTCTAAAGGAAAGCTGGATGACCGCTGCAAACACCTGCACTCCAGATATTTGCTGGGAAATTAAGAACAAACTGTCACCACTGCAACCATGCTGACTTATTTCAGTATAAGAAAAGGGCACTGCCTCCTTGATTAGACCAGATGGCATGCTGAGGAATAAATCTCAGCATCACAGAATATTTGAGGTTGGAAGGGACCTTTGGAGCTCATGTGGTCGAGCTCTCTGCTCAGGCAGGGTGCCCAGCACTGTACCCAGGCAGCTTTTGAAGATCTCCAAGGAGGGAAACTTTACAACCTCAGCCTTTCTCTGGCTGAGAAAGCTATTAACCCCATGGGAGCAGAGACAGGTGGCAGCAGTTATTATTTTACCTGTTACACATAAGATCAGGCAGTATATATGTACCTGTGCTTGCCATGAGAAGTTCCTAGCACAGCTTTTGATGAAGCATGCCAGGGAGAGGTAGCAATCCAGCTGTGGCATCCCGGAGCTCAGGGAGGTTAATTTACCCATCTTCTCAGCAGGCTAAATTAAACCTAGTCAAGCTCTGTATGGCTAAACCTCTTTTTGTTTCTCAAGTATTTCTAATTTGTTTTGCAGCTTTTAGTAACAGGCACAACTCAAGTTGCTTGATTCAATTTGCTTTCATTGGCATGTGATATCCACCAGGCGTGAGAAACCCACCTGTGTTTGTCAAACCAGTGCCTTTATTGCCTCTGCATGTGAGACAGGGATCAGAAATGCTCTTTGTTTTCTCTTAGGCAGAATATCTGAATCGCTTTGTTTTTCTTACTTGCTTCATGGTTATCCTGCTTTGAACGTGAACGTTTCAGTAATGCCAGCAGAAATTCCTGCAGGATACCTGACTTTTTTCTTGAGGCTGGAAATCTGAATTCATGCAGTGTTTGGATGGGATAGCTGGATATTTCTGCATAGAATCTACAGCTCTGATGATTCCTTGGCTTCCTGCTTTTTAATCCCTTTGGATGTTTGAGTGTAAGATTTGCTAAGCAGGAGGGAAAGGAGGTGATCGATCACCTTGTGTGTTTGCTGCCTTTCTCCTTTTTATGAGTACTTCCGTAGTACTGCTGAAAGCAGAATGGAAATAGAAGCATGTGGCATTTTGGGACATGAAGGTTTTATTTCTGACCTGCAAGTTAGTGACAGCGCATTAGTTTCCTGGAGGTCTTAATATCCTGGTGATCCAGAAGAAGATAGTAACCTATTTAGTGGGGTTAGGATTTAACTTGTGGGCCAGGCAGTTCTGCTGGTTTTGTAGACAATAAATTTGTAATGATCGCTGCAGGCACCGCTGAAAAGTACCCTCTGGAGAACCCAGGACTTGGAGCAACTGCATTGAAAAAAGCTTTTCAGGCTTGCTCAGCCAGGCAGCACATAGTGGTCTGCAAGCTGGTTCTGAGATATCCATGCATGTTGACAAGGACTGATGATGGAATCAGTCTGGATATGGTACCTCTTTTGCCTGTTTTTACTTTGGAAACCAAACCTTGAGTTAGCAAAGACACTTTTGTTGCAAGTTGTAACTGGGTATCTACAAAGCAAATTATGCAACAAGTCCAGTAATTACATCTAGAAGGGAGTATAATTTCATACTACTCTGTTACCAGGTCCTTTGTTTCCATTATCTTGGACTCTCTGTGATATTAAGTCCTAGGAATTGTATTGTACACCATACTACTGCTGCTGGACATTTATTGCTTCCTCCAGGGATACCAAGCCTCTACTGTGAAAGGCTTGTGGAGAGTGGTGCTCTTGAGATTGTTGCTTCAGGATAGCTTCCTCCTGACATTTGGAACGAAATTGCAAAGCAGCTGATTCAGCTCTTAGAAATAGTCAAGAAGTTCACTTTCAAAGCAGGTATTGCTGATCCAGTGATATTGTGGATGTATCATTGACTTCCAGAGGAACAGAGCAGAAGGTTACTCCATTAAATTTGGCATAAATAATGCAAAGAGAATATTATTTTCCTGCATGTTACAGAGCTACAGAGCAGCTGGTTGTGTCTCTCCTTCTCAGCAAACTCTGAGCACAGGATTTTCTTGAGTTTGTGAGGTGATTAACGTTGGTAGGCAGCTCAGCACCACACAGCTGCTTGCTCACTCCCCCTCAGTGGGATGGGGGAGAGAATTGGAAAAGTAGTGTGAGAACTCATGGGTTGACATAGAGACAGTTTACTAAGGAAAGCAAAAGCTGCATGTGCAAGCAAAACAAAACCAAGAATTCACTCAGTACTTCCCTTTGGCAGGCAGGTGCTCAGCCACCTCCAGGGCAGCAAGGCTTTGGGGGAACCAGGGATTGGCACAATTAGCCTTTGGGCATTAAGGTCTTGATTTTAAAAGGTATTTTAGTACACATAGATGTCAGCTGGAAGTCTTAAAAGCCTTAGGGGACCTTCTTTCCAAGTTCTGAAGGTGGGATTTTTCTGCATAATTACAGATATCTATCTGACCAAATGCCTACACCCTCTTAATGACAAAGGAGAGAATTACATGCTTTTAGAGAAAGATTCATCTGCCTGCAGAATAGATGAGGTGAGAAATGGATCAGAAATAGATGAGGTGAGAAATGGACTCATTCAGTAATGACACCCATTTCTCTCTGCTGACTGCGAAGAAAGCTTTCATGACTAGATTAGGTATAGACACTTCTAAAGTACATATCTGAAGTTATGGATCTGACAGTATGCAGTGAAATGACCTCAGATATCAGGCCCTTGGCAAGTTGAGGCCATCTTTGGACTAAAGCAAGCAGGGAGTTACTGGCAAATGGATATGATTACAGAAGGACAGTGTCTCTGCTTCTGCATCTTCTTTCTATAGGCAATTTCAATATGCTTTCTGGATTCTAGTGAGTCCTGACAACTCCCACCTGGTATGTATTAGGGCTCCCATTCCAGATGGGTCACTGAGAAGTGGAGCAATGGTATTTCCATACCATATGGGATAAGAATCCTCCCATCCTCCTAGGAGCACCCTGAATGACTTCTGATGAGGTTACATAGAACTGGATGTTATCAAAGACATAACTGAATTTCACTGAGATTGAATTAAAAACAGTTCCCCTCAGCTCCCCCCGCCATAGCTTTCTATGTGAAAAATGGGAATAGTTTCACTGTTGATAGCCTTTACATTTTTACTCATGTGTGTCGTAAATTCTTAAGAATGGGTATTATCTCTTGCCACTTGTCTGTACAAGGGCTTAATCTCAGCTAGACCCTGTGGGTTTTAGAGCAATTCAAGTAACGTAGTATGTGATTTATGTATAAGGAAACAGCTCATCTGATCTTGTTCTAGAATTAAAAAAGGCCATGTACTCTGTACTCTGTCCACCGTAATAATGACCATAAAAATTCCCAAATGTACCTTAGGAAAAGGTTAGATTTATGAGAGTGTCTGGTTCTTTTTGGATTCAGTTCTCACAGATGCTCCAACAATAACTCAATCCAACTTTTTCTGTACCCCCACCAAACTTTAACAAACCTTGTTGTGTTGGAAAGGCAAACAATTTCTGAGATATATAGCTCTAAGGTAGCTATTCCAGGTAGTATGTTTTTTATAAACTTTTTTTTTTTTTAAAGTATAAAATCAAAATTCCAGAGTTCTGTTATTACTAGCTTGTAGCCAAAGAACATCATATATCTTTTAAAGTGTTATCATAAAGAATATAGACATGGGACCTCTGCATATTGATGTTAATCAAAATCAAAAGTAAATCAAAAAGTCAATTACAAGGGTTAATCGATTCAAAGGAAGACACATACAAATGCAGATTGAAAAGATGATTTTAGAATGAAGCAACAGATCCTTAAAATATATCTTAACAAAGTGCCAGGAAGAGAACATCACAAGTGACTGACAGTCAATTTGGGCTCCAAGTGAGAAGTCAGCAGTTGCCCAGTGTCATGGTGAGGCTCTGCTCGCTACCAGCAGCAGAAGCTGGCTGTAGCTCTCCCTTGCTCCTCTCACTTTTGCAGATTTGCTCTGTGGATTGGCAGTGGCACCGTGTCCCCTGGGAGCTGCTTGTCACCTCTTCAAGGTGATGGTCAAGCTGCTGCCAACGGGGAGATGATGGGGTCCTTGGGCTGGCGCTGTCTGGCATTAAATCCTCTTGGATTTATCTAATCCATTGAGGACTTACCATCAAAACAGCCCTTTTTTCTGGATGCTGTCTTGCTTGGTAGGCATCTGGAAGACGTCCCAAGCTGGGATTTAACACCCTGTGCCTGCTGCCAGGTGCAAATAGGCCATAAAGAGATTGCAAATGAATTTTGGAGGTCTTCCCTAACCCTGAAAATGCATCCTTCCCTCCTTGTGTATTGGGAAAGAGATACTGCAGGCATACCTGTGATGGGATGAAACATGACGGTGTCACTCCAACAATTGGCTGTAATGTGGCTGAAGTGCAAAAATTATCAGTCCTGTGGGGATGGGTGCAACTCTAGGTACAATTTTAGTGACACGACTCTAAATACGTGAAGAAATATTAAAGTAATTGAGTTTGGATGCGGAGAGAACGGCTGGGCTCAGTTGTGTTTTCCAAGGTTGTTGGTTTATCCTATTGGCACTGCTTTCAGTCCCAAGTTTCTCACTTGCAGACCCATTTTTTGCTAATGACACCATCATATGTCTTTGCAAGGAATTGGTCTGGCACTGCTGGGCTGCCTCAGCTCACAACATCTCAGCTGAGGTCCTGCAAAGTTTAGCTTGGATTTAAATGAAGTGTATGACAGCTTAGCAAAGCAACACTGAGGTTTGGACCTTACAGAGCTGAAAGAGACTCTTAGGAGGCAGTTGGACCCATGAGGGATTTGAGGGTCAAAGTACACTTGCAAAATGTGTTGGGAATTGTGTGGATCAGCAGGAGCTGTTTTGTTCTCGTGTAACCAGCTATCACGTTATCCTAAATATAAACCTTGCCCTTTCAACTCTGCAAACACACAGTGTGTTGAAAAGCTAGCTTCATTTTCTCGTTTAATTACCTGTCTCTGCTTAGTAGGAACTATGGAATTCCACAAACTAATGCAAATACATAAAAAAACTAATTAGGTAAAACTCCTATGCTTAAAAACAAATCAATCAACCAATCAAAAAAAATAAAAACACCCCTACCCAAACCAGAACTCACACACACCACAAAACCTCCCGTCCTTTTTCATATGCCCATGGCACCAAATATCCATTTGGGTTTCTGCTATGATGATAGGTTCGTATTAGCAGTAGATGCAGATTGGCAGACAAATAAGAAAGGATTGCAAATGTGCCTTTAATTGATGAAATAGCTAATCTGGAAATTAGAATTCTGTCTCTCTGCAATTTTTAGTCACACATGGTAAGTTTCCAGCTCTTGAAGTACATTTTGCAGATTTTCTGCTGTGCGTAATTTAGTGCGAGTCTCTAAGCACCTGCCTCACAGCCTCATCCTTCCCACAATGAGTGGCAAATTCTGAATCAAAGTGGGAAAGGAAAAAAACTATGCAGCTAAAATGGGCTGAATGACCATCTGGATCAGAAAGGGTTGCTCCTCAGTAGCCCCAC